TACAGTTTACTTCACTTCGAACGTTCATTCATTTTTGATTTGCACTACGCCACGGCCTGCAGCATCTTCACACAGATGAAACTTACTAGAGAAGTGTACAGTGTGACATAATATACTTCTGTAAATAAATACAATTTAAATTTACGTCTCACACACTTTAATGCCCTTTGAATGGAACATATACACTCCCTTCGAACTGGCGGAATATCCTGTGATGTCCACTTTGCAGGGCACTTATGGTCAAATAGAACAAACGTCTAACTTGATAAGAGATACATACAAAATGTGCAGAGCGGGGGGCACGAGGACTGGAATTGAAACACTTATTTAGAGTAAAACTCATCTACCTGATACATCAGTCCTTTCGTTATGAAGCCCCTAAGTAGACATGGTGATGAAATAAACATGAGATGTGAGGAAGAATTGGTCTTTTTTTTTTGTACAAAGTTTTTAACACAAAGTTTCTCGGGGCAATGCAAAACATTTGCGAGCAAATGAACTAACTTTTTCCTCCCAACTCATGTCCCATGTTCCCTTAGGGGCTATATATTTGGTCTTATTAGTGATATGTTTAATTAAGTAATTTCAAATATAAAAAAATACCAATGTGTCCATTAATCATGAAAAGTATCATCATGGAAAGATAATAGAAATTAATTGGTCAAAAGGTTTGGGTACCGGTAAATGTTTTTATATATTCATAGTACAATAAACATGCAATCTCATTAACCTGTTTGTTTTCGGTTTGTAAGAAAGCCCAGGTGCGGAAAGATAATAGAAATTAATTGGTCAAAAGGTTTGGGTACCGGTAAATGTTTTTATATATTCATAGTACAATAAACATGCAACCTCATTAACCTGTTTGTTTTCGGTTTGTAAGAAAGCCCAGGTGCGCCTTAAGCTTCAAGTCGTCCCATCCCTGCAGAGACTGATGATCTATCGCTGGACTCAACAAGCTTTAGCTACCCCTGCAGATCATCCACTCCTGCCTTTGTTTTGGCAGAAATTTTTCCAACTTTACCTCCGTCAGCCTGGACCAGAGTTTGGGTACGTTAAACATGGAAACATTCTGTCTTTATTTGGCTTGTTGTTGTGATTTTTAGTACCTGGCTTCTTAAAATGAAGACTTCCAAACGTTTTAGATATATTATCATGCTATTTCATTTCACTAAAGTGCAGTTGTTACTTAATGCATGTCGGATTCAAAGTACATGTTGTACGTGCTATATTCAAGTGAAGATGTTCACCCTGTTCCTCTTCCCTTTTTTTTTTATCCTACCCCTCATTTCCCTTTTTGTACTCGTTTCTTCTTGATGATTTCACCAGATTTTACTCTTAAGCTTTATGTAGCAGTACTAATGACTCACAAGGCTGATTGTTCCATATCTTTGCCTTACAAAACGTCTATGTTCTGTTGTCTGTTATGTGTTGAACATAATGTCAGATGCATTTCATATCCTGTTTGTCAGTATATTATTATTTTGTACCTGCACAATATCAGTTTTAATTCTGATTCTAAAATAATTGAACTCTACAATCCCTTTCTTTTAAAATAACGAAAGAATTCCAGCACACATCAATATTTTATGTCTGTTATATTTCTTTTATTTTTTGGATAATGCTCTGTTTCAGGGTCCTGATGACCCACTCGAGGTTTATTTTGCAGTAATGAATGTATATTTTGACTTAGAGTAATGTATAATATTTGTAAGTTGTGTTACAGTGGTTTGTTTGATTATGGGTATTTCTGAACCCTTGCCTCTGATTTTTATTATTTCTTTATTTTTTGACACCATCAGGCTGGAGGTGAAAGGTTGTATTGGGAGGCGTTACTTCCATGGTGCGGCCCATCTCTCCTTGTTAAAAAGTCTCAGACAGCGGCTGGTTGAAGTGTCTGACTTCCACCATGCTGCTAGCAAGGCTTTGAAAGTGCCATGCTCAAGCAGTGAATCCAGTGATGGTCTGCTCACCCCAGAGACGCCCATCACCCAGTACATGACCTCTCCTGAGCTGCACACTGAACTTGTGCGGTAATGTCCAGAGTTTTGTTCTCTCAACATCCATTATTCTATTTACTGTTGAGTACTATTGAGTGTTAAGTGACTACAGCATCTGAAAGAAACATTCTTGATACTGTTTCCAAGATGTGTTCTTCATTTGTATTACTCTCAAGTTAAGCACAAACTAAAGTGTGACCATTTTAAGTTACATTTAATTTGTGAATTGAAGCCTTATCATTCAACCATATGTTATGACATGTTAGAACAGAAAATACATTTTTAAATGTCAAACTCTTATTATTCAGGCTCTTCACTGTGTTTGCTTTGTGGCTGGATGATGAAAACCTTCAGAAGCAGGAAATTTACTTGCCCTCTTTGCCAAAGGAGTATGACACCCATCGCCTAGCCAAAATCATGCAGCGCCAGCAGGTGAGGGTTTGCTTGAGTCCAGCTGAGTGCATTCTTTCATTTTTATCTTTAAGAGGTCTGAGCCATCAAAAGGATTTAGTAGATGGTTTTGAATGAAAATGTAATTTAAAACAATTTAAATATGAAATGTCAAGCTGTCAATTTAACAAATCTATACGTTAAAAAGTTTGGGGTTGGTACGATTTTTTTAAATGTTTTTGAAAGTAATTTCATATCCTCACCAAGGCTGCATTTGATCAAGAATATAGTAAAAACAGTAATATTGTGAAGTGTTATTGCAATTAAAAAAAAAGTTGTACATTTTAATAATTCAATGTAGTTTATTCCTGTGATGGCAAAGCTTAATTTTTTTCAACCATTACTTCAGTGTTCAGTGTCACATGATCCTTCATTCAAATATGAATTATTCTAATATACTGATTTGTTGCTCAACAAACATTTCTTATTATTATCAGGGTTACAAACAGCTGCTTAATATTTTTGTGGAAACCGTGATACATTTATTCTAGATTCTTTAATGAACAAAGTTCAAAATAATTTTGAAATAGAAATGCAACAATGACGATGTCTTTATTTTCACTTTTAACCAATTTAATGCATTCGTACTAAATAGAAGTATTCATTTCTTTAAAAAAAAAAAAGACTGACCTCAAACTTTTTAACTTACAGACCTCAAACGTTGGACTTTTAAACAGTAGAATTATGGTTTAAACATATATTTTACACATACTTTCTCTGGACATTTGGAAAATATTCTGCCACATCTTATATAAGAGCTTAATCAGATATAAGCTAGAAGAGTTGCATTTGCATTTGCAAGTCATTTGCATTAAACACTTAGTAATGTATGGAAAATGCCTGTAAATATTTTTTGATAAATGTCACATTTATAGATGAGCCTTTTTTGACATTTTTATTTTCTGTTCAGATGCATATTTTCAGGTGATACTGAAGGTATTTTTGACACAATACATTATGAAATACGAATTGATGCCAGGTCTGTGTGTCACTTCATCTTTAGGAGGTGTGGATGGAGCATGTGGACATTGAGCGAGTCCAGCATGAGCTGCAGGAAGTGCTCAGTCTGTGGTCAAAGGTCAAGAATGAACCCGCACTCTCCCAGAACATCAACTTCTCCATCTTCACTGACTTCATCAATCCTCTGGCTGGTACTGAACCCACTTTCCACTGATAATCATACTCTGATGTCTGGATTCTCTTATTTGAATCAGTCAAAATATGAAATAGTGATTCTCTTTAGGAATGTTACAGTTGTTTGCTTCAGGCACATTTAATTAAACTCGCATGACTATGATATAGCCAGAGACTGCATTTATGTCAAATTTAAAAAAAGCCCCTTTTCAGCATGTTCAAGTTACAGTTTTGTATAATAAAAAAATGTTAATGTATTTTTGGCTGTTGGACATTTAGAGCGTAGTGATTGCCACAGATTCATTGTACAGCAGATTTGACTTTTTGCACAAAATAATATATTCCTGGTGTATTTATTTACAGCAAGGGAGCGTATTCTCACTCATCTGAGAAAGCATGATGCTGCCCAGGGGGCGCTGTTGCTCGTGCCTGTGAAAGCTCCAGTGCCTGACATTCTCACTGAGAGCTTGGCTGATGAGAAAATCTCCACTGCCTTAATTCAGGAAGACCTTGCTAAGCTCCAGCATCAAGCCAAGTAAGACTCAATACATGAGCACTTACTCTCTCTCTCTTTGAAGCATGTATTGATTGATAAACTGATGTCAATACTCACTTATAGTCCGTAAGTGCATGTTAAGTAAGTCTCCAGTGCTGTGAAAAATAACTGGTGCCTCTCAAATTACTCAATGATACGCTGTAGTGCTGTATTTGCTTCTCCGTATGTGCTAAATGGTGTTTTAAATCACGACTGTGTCCTCTTCTCAGGTTGGCAACGGTCCGGGAAACACAGCAGGTCGTTCTAGACAATGAACTGTTGGAGGTGTTGCCGCAGCTCTACATCAACCGAGAAGACCAGCTCTCAATGCAGTTAGAGTGCCGTGGCAAAGGCGGACAGCCCTGCCAGGGTCCCGCACATATCACTGTTAAGGTGAATATCTGCCATTTCTGTCCTTCTGCTCTGTGCTATTTCTAATGGTGTACTTTGTGCTTCTTGGTTAAAAAGTTGTACACACATTTTTACAATTTTTAAAATCATGTACACTCACATGAAAGTTGTTTTTCTGTACATGGAGTGGGTCGCCTAATGGGTGCAGAATGTTGTGATCACATGACCTGCTGAATACTATTCACTTTATCATAGTAACCTCCCATTATTAGACACTTGCGCAAGACATTAATCATGGCTGACTGCAATTAGCACATTTCTGCAATGGTATTGGTAACTGAGAGATTTTTTTTGTATAATAATAGTAATGTGGGTTACTAGGTGTCAGCGTCCAAGATGACTTATTATTTAAGCTAAAATAATAATAATAAAATATTATCTGAAAAGTTTCAACTTAAAAAAACTGTAAAAATGTTACATTTTGCCTGGGTAACTATAAAGTAATTTAACTTGAATTACTAATATGTCTAAGCCCTTTTGCCTAAAGACGACGTAAGATTTTACTTGGGGAAATGTTTTTTATAATTTTTTTTTATTTTTATCATAAGTTAATCTTGTATAATTTTAACTGCTGTATTTTTGTGTTTATTTTGTTTTTATTTTGTGTTTATGCAACTCTTGTATTATTCCAACTTTTGCCATGAAGACAGCCTTAGATGCTGACATGGCAATAAAAATAAATTACTACTACTATGTCTAACCCTATGTCAGACCCATTGAACCGTGATGATGGAATCAAATTTAATTCCCCTATTTTTCTCCCTAACTGACTTCCTGTCTTCTCTGCATTAATATTATAAACTATTCTGGCAACCCCTCAGAAAATCCTACATTTTCATGAGCTCTCTCTCTCTCCCTGATTGTGTGCTGCAGTACTCAAGAATGCACAAACTGGATCCAGTGCAGAATCAGATACAGTGCCTGAAGAGTGATATTAAACAGCTACAGGCTGATGGAATCAAAGCTCCACCTCAATGTCTGGCTGAGGCGGCCGTGCACACAGAAAACTTCATCACGTCAGTACCTGCTCAAATCAGTTTCTACGCATTCTATATTTGTGCCACTAAATGTGAACATCATGTTTTCTTGTTTAGGGCCTTGGTTAATGCTTACAAGCTAAATCCTTCCCCTGGCATCCTGAAGGTGGGCCTCACTGTTTTCTATCAGATAGTGTCCTTTGTGTGTGAGGACACACAGAGACATCCACCCACTCGCCAATTCTTCACGTCATGTATAGAGATCCTTGGTCAGGTATTGTTTTTAACCCAGTGAAATATATTGTTATGTTACATTATTTTAGCACTAATTGTAATCAAATGTAATGATGTTTTCTCTTTTTGACTTTTTAAAAAAAAATGTTTTTTTTTAAAGTGTCTGTCGTTTTTATATTTACAGCTGTCATGTCTTAACTGTTAGGAATATATAAAGCGTGTCTTTGGCTGTAGGTCTTCATCCGGGATGTCCGATCAGAATGTAAACAAATGCTGAAGACCATCCTGCTCAATAGACACCTCTGTAACCTTCTCTCACCCTACTTCACTCCAAACGCCTCTCCCGCAGAGCTGGTCTCTCTGTACGAGGAAGTGGTCAACACCCTCCACATAGACAGTGGCGATGTCATATTCATGCTCCTCACAAAAGTAATTCTCCTTTATTGAATAATGCTGTAAATGTTCATCATACAGGTTGCAATTGAAAGCATTATGTGTTAAAAGAATTTGCCAAATCCAAATTCTTCTAGAGGTGTGGAGAAGATTTCACTGTTTTGTTCATAATTATGTGATGCAGTGCTGTCATATTCTTTATCACAATTTTATTAGCATATTCCCATATCGAAACCCTCAGAGTAGTTTATAAAATGATTTTTGTGCAGAAATGGCGGGAACATAAAAACAATAAAATCTCATTTAAATTTACGGGGCAATCAGCACTCTTCAACCACCTCACGTTGGATCCTTCCCATTGCCCTCTGAGACTCTGATTGCTCTACATCTTGCTTTTGAATGTGTAGCTCATGTTTGCAGCTTTTTGAAAATTGAATTGAATAATCTGCTCTGTTTTTAGTTTGACTTAACTCAGTGGCTGTCGGTGACACAGCCTCAGTTCTCTGAGCGTAGCCGACTGATGGCAATAATCCATCAGGCTCTGTGCACCTGTGGACTGGAACCTGAGCCAGAAGTCCTCATGCCCTTCAACATATTCTGCAAGCATTGGACTGAACTGCTGCTTTACCAGTTTCCAGACCACTACAGTGACTTCCTTCGTCTGCTCATGCAGAGTACGTCTGTCCTTTTCTCTGACCCAGAGTCATCCATTGTTTTTTTGTTTTTTTATTTGATTGGTTCTGTGTCAAATTATCACAAAGAAACCCTCATTTAATCACCTTAGTATAATGGTTAATTTATTTTAATTTACTTGCAAAGTTTTTTTTTTTGTCACAATCACTATTTTTGATAAAAGTAGCAAATGTACTTGCGTTAGATATGCTTAGTATCACAACTGGAAATGTCCAATGTCTGCTAAATTATATTTATAAATGTTAAAGTCTAAATCAGTCCAGATCTGCTTTTGTAGATTTAATTATCTATGGATTTTTGTCATATAGTGATTTTTCATGTGTCGGTCTAAACGTCCTTCTTTTGCCCTGTTGTGGTAGTTTAGCATGACGTCTGTAATCATAATTTATCAACATTAAATGTAAATTCCAAAAACTAAAAATGTACTTTAAATGAATTCAAGTAAATTATTTAAAAAATACTATTTGTGTTGGGAAAAATTGACTGTAGAAGAAAAATTCACTTTCCTGCAGGCTCTTCTGAGCAGCTTCTCAGTCCAGAGTGTTGGAGAACGTCTCTAATTGTGCTGGGCTGTTCTCCTCATCCTAAGATAAAGACTAACAAAACCCGCTCCATCCTCCTCTCCCCTCAACAGGTAATGCAAAACACTCCTTATTTATTCAACATGCTCTTTTAGACTTGAATACTTCAAACGGAGCCAGAGCATTACGATTGTACTTTTTTTTTCTAGGTGGATGAAACAATCGAATGGCTCTCAAAGTACTTCCTGAAGCTCCGTCTGTCTAATGGAGACTTTAGGAGCTTTGGTCTCCTCTCAAAATGGGGGCCGTACATTGAGGAAATCAAGATGTTTTGGGAAGATTTGATTACCTACGTCATTGATCTGGAACTAAACAATTGCAGCAAAGAACCAGTAGGAAGTCCAAGACTGGTCAAAGGTACAAATATGTATCTCTGTTATGTGTAGCAACCAAATATTTATGGTGCAGACAAATGTTTGGGGTCAGTAAGATTTTCAGAAAAAAATGTATCACAGTTTCCACTATCACTTTACTATCAGAGCTATAAATTACATTTTAAAATGTACCTAAATAGAAAACAGTTATTTTAAATTGCAATAGTATTTTACAATATTACTGTTTTACTGTATTTTTGATCAAATAAATGCAGTCTTGGTGAGCATAAGAGACTTCTTACAGACTCCAAACTTTTATATCTGTATAGCAACTATTTGTATAAAGCCTTCCTTCACCTAACGGTGCAGTTTCTGACCTCTCTGGATCAAAATGGGAACATCAGTCTGGCATCTCTGGAGACAGAAATGGAGAAATTACTGGAGTACATTGTCATTTTCAACCCTCCTGGTGAGGAAAATATTTCATTTATCTCACATTCATTTTCTTGTCATGTCCCTCAGCAGGCCCTTCAAGAATATTACATAAGCATCATTTGTAGTTCTGTGTATCACTGGATTTTATAAGAATGAAAGCACTTATGTTCACACTGCACACTGTTCCGGTTTGTTTTTTAGAACAAATATTTCGGATTGACTGTTTGTATTGTCATTTAGAATGTGACAAAATCATAGCAGTTAGTACCCAGTAGACTGGTTGCAATAGTAATGACAAAGGCATCAGCACAATGCCAAGAGTGGGGAAAGAAAACAAAATGAGTGAGGATACAGATTCAAACACCATGGCACATTAATGTATGATGGTACATATGCATCTATTCCCAAAAACATTTAAAATACCATATACTGAGCTGGTGGATGTTAGAGACCTTGTGCTCCTCCACCTTCCGTTTGAGGATGCCCATGCTTAGCCAATCCATCACCTTTACCCTCAGCTTCTTTAGCAAGGCAGTGGTCGTCTTGGAGGTGTGTTTGGGGTCGTTATCATGTTTGAATACTGCCCTGCGGCCCAGTCTCCGAAGGGAGAGGATCATGCTCTGCTTCAGTATGTCACAGTACATGTTGGCATTCATGGTTCCCTCAATTAACTGTAGCTCCCCCAGTGCCGGCAGCACTCATGTAGCCCCAGACCTTGAAACTCCCACCACCATGCTTGACTGTAGGCAAGACACACTTGTCTAGAGCAGAGCAGTAATTTCTGAATTAGATGCAGGAGCAGATGAGGAACGTGTCTATTTACTATCCATTCTCCAATCTGTTTTTAAACCAAATACAAATGTAGTTTCTAATTATATTTATTTATTCATTCATGCATGCATTCATTCATTCAAGATTTTTTAATGTTTTTGAAAGAGGCATAATATTGTGTAATGTTACTACAATTTAAAATAACTTTTCAATTTTAATATATAATTAATTTTTTTTATTTATTCCTGTGATGGTAAAGCTGAATTTTCAGCAGCCATTACTCCAGACTTCAGGGTTAAATGATCCTTCAGAAATTATACTAATATTGTGACCAGCAGAACAGCAATCATTTGAAATAGAAATTTTTTGTAACATTATAAATGTCACTTTTGATTTAATGCATCCATGTTACCAACCCTAAACTTTTGAGTGGTAATACATTATTAACTGCTAGTTACTAGCCATTTAACTACTACTGTTGTTTCAGTTAAGTATTTATTTACAGAAAAGTTTTTTAACACATCAGTGTCTAATCAGCATCTTAACGCAACAAACAGGCAGTAACAATATCTCTCTTTATGTTGAATGAACTGACCTTAATGTTTCTCATCCTCACGTTCAGAGACAGACCTCCAGCAGCGGCACATGGCCACATGCAGTCTGTTTGCTGAGATGCTGACTCTGCTTAATGAAGCTGGCATATCTACAGCAGAGGGACTCGGGACTAAACTCCACTCCTGGGTGGAAAAGCGAGCTCGGGGGGCTTTGGTTCTCCCCCTACTAACCGCTGCGTGCAGATGCCTGGCCTCGGTGCGTCATATGACACGCACCACTGAGGCCTGTATTCTCTCCTACTTCACTGATGGTAATAATAGCTCATACTTGTTCTGGGCTTAGTCACAGATTTTAAACCGTCTGTCTGTGTAAGCCTTTCGGAATTATTCCTCTCCCTAATCACATTGTTAGGATCATAAAAGCAAACATCTGGGCTGAATCAAAACATTTGCATGGAACCATTATAGAGTACAATAAGTTTTAGCATCTTATAAATATTAAGTCTTAAATATCCACAACTTCTTGCAATATCTTGTGTTTTTTCAGGTGAATGTGCTGATCAATACTCTGGTTGGGGGCCCATCCTGGTCTCTCTTCAGGTTCCTGAACTGACTGTTGAGGACTTCATTCAGGAAAGCCTGAACCTGGGCAGTTATCTCACACTGTACGTCTACATCCTCCAGAGGCTGAACCTGGAGCAAACCCTCCTGAATGAGAAGAAGACCTTAGTGCAGCTCAACACATGGATCAGTCAGGTCTTTCCTAGGTAGTATACACTTTATCACATATAGTGTGCTCTTTCATATGTTGAAGGACACACACAGATACCCTGACTGGAAGTAGTATAGGATTGCAGAGTTAATAAAGAATTCCTCTTTTACTTTACATCTGTTCCTGCAGTGGTCCAGCTGATGAGGCAAAGCTGTTTTTATGGTGGCATAAATTCTTGGAGCTTGTGCAGATCCAGGTGGATCAAGAGGACACCTGTGCACTTGATACTCTGATTCTCGCCTTAATGGCGTTCCAGAACCGTCTAGCCCAGCTCGGTGAGGAAAGACTGAACTCAGGCATCTTGGGAGCCATTGGCCTCGGGAGGAAATCCCCACTTTCTAGCAGGCGAGAGATGATTGAGAGTTGTTGAAAAACTACTGAAATTACCGTTTTGGTTTGCTGTCCAGATTGGAAGTAAATTGTGTGAATTGCATGCCTCACATTTTCTGTTCTTCCTGTGTTTCAGTTTTCGGGTTGTGGCGCGCAGCATGTCAACATTTTTGCTGGTCCAGGTGCCCTCAGAGAATCAGCTGCGTCTTCATCCAGGCACAGAGCTGCAGCTCCCAGCTAAAGCCCAACAGGTCAGATTTTCCAGGGAATGGGATAAATGTATAGCATCATCAACAGACAAGATGTAAATATTTCCTATATTTTAGGTGAAGTTTAGGAATTTTTCTATGTTGAATTTGAAAAACTGAATTGAAATTTTGAAAAAAAAAATGTAACATCATATTCCAGATTTGCTACTGTGGCTTTCAGATGGTTATATGGGGATATATTTGAGATATTTGATGATAATTTGTTATAGCACAAACAAATTCCCTATAAATTGTGCTGTACTTTGAATGACTGCTCTCTTTTTTCAGGCCTTATCTGTATTGGAGCAAATGCCAAGTAATAAGCAGTATTCAGAGCTGCATGTGTCTGTGAATCAGGCCATTCAGTTCATCAAGTACCCAAGTCACTGCCTGTGTGACAGCAACCGTCTTCTGACCCTGCTAGTCAATGCACTCTACACTGACCTTCATTACCTAGACATCATCCGTTAGCTATAACCTCAAAACAAGAGTCGACTCCGGCTGTCAAGCTCTGCAAAACCCACCAAAAACTCCTGGAGAACAGGTCTAACTCCAGATGAGATGAAGGTATTTTCTGGAAAAGGACCCATTAGAATCATGGGTTTGGACCCTGAGGCAGTGGTCATTTTTAAAAATGTGCATAAAGTTATAAAAACGTCTGGTTAAACTAGTTTTCTTTCTTTCTCACATTAATATCACACTTGAACCTTCTTTTTTTCTTAAAATGTCATCCTTTATGTATCCAAATCTTCAGTGTTTCAGACCAGAAATAACACACAAACATGTCCACACAGTTCATGCTCTCATTATAATATATTCACTTACGCAATTTATTTTAGAGTGGTGAGGATTTTATGATATGAGAATGTTTTAGACCTCCCATGTTGGGGGAGTTTTGGGGATATTTGATGATAATCCACTGAATCACAGTCAGAGTAAATATACCTCATAGCATGATTTTGATTGATTTGTACAACAAATATTCTGGTGAATTTACAAAATATATTTCATTTCAGTACATTCTTTATGAGCTCATGCAAATAAATCAATAATGGCTGGACATCTACATTTCAACGTGAAGAAGTGAATTTTTTCGAGACTAATATCTTTCTCTCACTGCATTTATTATTTGAACGGAGGTGTTGCCAACAATGTCCAAACAAGATGAACTGCTCCAGCATGTGATCTGCCTGATAAGTGTACTTAGGTTTTTTACAGAAGTGCTCCCTTAAAGAATGTTAACAATTCTGACAGTGCACTTTCCTCTTTTAAAAACTTTCCGTTTCTCCAGAGCAAGATGTTCTATTATATAGGCATATGAGATTGAATGAATGTGCTTGCTGCTGTATTTGCTTAGATGCATAGAGATCATTTCAGAACTAATATTAATTTGAATGAGAGAAAATCTATTTCTGTGCTATACTATTGCCAGCATGGTATGTCTATATTTGGTTGTAATTTTATTGATTTAAGATTATAGGTCAGCCCTTCTGGGGATTCACTGAATGCTTTTAGAATACAGTCAGAGGTCATTTTCTATACTTCCTCATACCACAGCATTCACTGGTTTCCATAATACTGCAGCATACCATGTTGTGCATTGGATTTGTGGTAAGTATAACTGTTTAGATCCTCCCCAAGGGAACAGATGTGCTCAAACATTAACCATAATCAAATCCCAGAATAAAATTAACATTATGTGCATATTGTCAATGACACTGTCATGCTATTGAAAAAACACTTATAAAAACATGCACAACACTGAACTATTGAAATAACCTGGACATTTGTATAAATGTACAGGGGAAAGAAGTCTAATGTTGAATAGAACATGAATTGCCTTAAGTTGTTTTCAATGTAATATTTTTCCTCTTGTGCCGTAATTGCTCTTTTGTCATCCATTACAAAATACAGTGTCAAATTATATGGTGTGTGTACATGGAAATGTAAATGATAATCAAAGTCAATAATACCTAAAATCAAAGGAAAAGTGTGTGTGAGATTTCCTCGTGTGAAAAAGTTTCTTAATTTAATTCCCTTCCTTTAAATGAAGATTTTGAAGAAGCATTTTTAAATAATCATAGCATTGACCTAAAAACATTTGTCATAAACCTTTTTGTTTCCCCCAAAACTCCTATAAGTCCTATAAGTAAAGGCCATGTTAATGTGACAAAATAGTATCGCTTCTTAGGCTGTGACAAGTGCAAGACAGTATTCACATCACAGGATATGGCGGTTGCCATGGCGATCTCATCCACTTTAATAGATGGTACAGAGGGAGTGTTATCAGGCGACCCAGACAGCAGATGGGAGACTGAGATGTGGCATGCCAGTGTCCTTTCTTATGTTTAGCTGTTCATACATTCTGTCACATCTGAGCCTGAACGCCACGCTGGAGTATCTGAGAATAGTAGCTGTGCGGCAGCATGTATGCACATATTAAAGAAGTAAACAGAAGAGAATAAAAAATGCATATGCTGTGAGTTCTGCATCAACTCCATATGGGTTGGCACTAGTGTTAAAGGGGTCATATGATGCGATTTCAAGTTTTCCTTTCTCTTTGGAGTGTTACAAGCTGATTGTGCGTAGATAAGATCCCTGAAGTTGCAAAGACTAAAGTCTCAAAACCAAAGAGATATTCTTTATCAAAGTTAAGACTCTGCCACGCCCCCCTAAAACGGCTCGTTCTAACACGCCCCCACATGTCTACATCACTATGTGGAAATATTTGCATAATGTCGCCCAAATGTTCACGCAAAGAAAGAAGGCGTGGTTTCAGTAACCGCAGTTAGTTGAAGCAGCCATGTCATGGAGACGCTGTGTGTTTCTAGACGAAAGCTAAAGCACTTTATTTGGCCTTCCGAAAGTAGATGCATTTAGGAATCTTTAAGATTACTTACAACAGAACAGCAATGCATTTTATGGACCGTATATTCATATTCAACATATTCATGCAAAATAATGATCTTTAAAAAAGCATCATATGACCCCTTTAACATGTAAGATCTAAAGTTTTTAAGTTTGCTATAACCCAGAGATGTTTCGTCCTCAAAAACATGTTGATACAAATGGATAGCAGCTTATGGTGATCTGACTATGTGCCGTCAACTTGTGAAGCTTGTATCTAATGCCAGTGCCAGCTGGAATTCTGACTCTTCTCCCACAGTCTACCACATTCAATTACATATCTCACTTTATTTATTTATTTTTCCCAGTCCTTTAGCTGTGCAGCCTTATATCAAAACAGCTAAGTTTTTTGTGAATGATAAATGACAACGTTTTCTAGGTCTAGTAAGGGCAGCGCCTCAGGTCAACTACAATGCAACCTAGTAAGGGCTCACGCAAAAACATATTTGTTCCAACTGAATTAATAAATATTTGCATTTTACACTACCATTCAAATGTTTGGGTTCATTCAAATTTAGTTTGTTTTTTCATAACCAAGGTTGCATTTATTTGATTAAAAAAATACAGAAAAAACAGTAATATTGTGAAATTATTACAATTTAAAATAACTGTTTTCTATTTGAATATATTGCAAAATGTCATTTATTCCTGTGGTGCTAACCTGAATATTCAGCAGTCATTACTCCAGTCTTTAGTGGTACATAATTCTTCAGAAATCATTCTAATATGCTGATTTGCTGCTCAAGAATCATAACCACAATTACATTTTAAAATGTAAATCATTAAACTCTGAATTATTACATGTTATTTAAAACTCTCAAATTATGATCTAAGATACTAATTTCAAAAGCTTGAACTTCTTAGATTATGTGTCTGTCTACATTTTGAAAGTTACATCAAAATATGATACATTTAGTTTTCCTTCTTCCTCTGGCTGTCTGGCTATTCTTCAGTGTTTAGGGCAATGCAAAAGGCTCATTGGTCCATTTCCCGTCTCTAGAGTGTGTTTGTGGTGAAGGCAACAGCAGCAGCACTAAAGGGCTGTGAGTCTGTGGCTGTCTGAGGTACAAGCGGCTGAGACTTTAACAAGTTGACCTCGTCCTAATCCAAAGATATACTCTGTGCTGTAGTTTGAACAGCCATCATCTCTATCAGTTACCTTAATTCACCCTGGTTCTGTCACATTTTAGACAAAGCCTGTGGCATTGAAAGATGTCTGACACAGCGGATGCAGAGTTTGACCTCTGTATAAACATTCATTAGCATATGTTGTAGAGACATTGAGCTTTTATATGATAAGCCTCAAAGACTTTTGACTGGTAAATAGCTCAGTATATTATAGAAACAATAAATCCTGCGCTGAAAACTGGGCGACTGCTTTCGGTGCATTGCACTTACACGGGAGATCCTATCCGCAATACAGCACTAATGAAACACATAAGGATTAACTGCCAGTTGTTAGTGATGGATCTCTTTTAATATATCAGCCAACATTAGTTGCCACATTTTAATGACTAATTCTGAGAAGCTTTATTAAGAAAAATCTTCTTTCTATGGGTATTCACACCCCTCTTTGTTTTGACTTGATTCTCAGTGATCATCTTACGAGTGTGTTGAATGAAAGTTTTACAGCGTTGGAAAAAGCAGTGCAGTCCAGTGAGCCTGAACTGGAGCAGAGAGTCCGAGTCATCGTGCTTTTTTTCCAGAGGGAAAGTGTCGTGAGTGAGAGCGAGAACATGGCTCAGACTTTCCATTAGAAATTATGCAACGTCCACTGTACTATGGCACTGTATATATTATTATCAGAGATTACTTTCTTGTCTACATACTTTAATATGAGTTACTATCTTGGTGTTACGTGTACAGTGAAATGACCTGATGGTATGAAGAAGTGACACTTTTACAAGGTAATAACATATACATGCTATGACTTTTGAGTTCATGTTAAACCCCTGAGGCATCAAACAAGAGTGTCTCCATCACAATTTGTTATATGAGCAGACACTCACCTCATGGAAACAGAATGTACTTCTATAAATGTGTTTTGAAACAGATATTCTGCAGCCCACATATATTTACAGCTGGAAAATACCAGCATCAAAGATAGCGCCAGTTGTGTCATCGTCTCGTTTCTGAAGTTCTGAGGCGAACAGATTTCAGTAACATCTGCCACCAAGAAAATAAGCAGGATTTTGTATTCGTATGTTTCTCATAGATTTGATAATGACAGGGACAAGAATCTCTCAGTCCCTGTAGCACCACATTTTCAGTTGAATCATGCTAATAGATGTCATTTTAAGTGTTACATCAGTTGTCAGGAAATATTAGATATTTACTTTATTTAAACAGGAGGTGTTTTATATTGACTGATTAATTAAAATGAAGTATTATATAATATTTAAATAAGAAAAATGTTTTTTGTTTTTTCAGATTGTTATTCTATATGATTGATTTAAATATATATGAGAATAAAGTGACACAAAAATGCTAATTCTGTCATCAAGCCACTATATATATATATATATATATATATATATATATATACATACACACATACATATATATATAAAAAAAAAAATTTGTTTTTTTGGGGACCAGGGACAGCTATGAAAACCATTCACCTTAACTATACAGAAAAAAGCAGCTTAGATATTCTGCTAAATAACTCCTTTTGTGTCCCACAGTAGAAAGAAAGCCATATGGATTTGGAACATCATAAGGATGAGAAAAGCTGACAGATGTTTCATTTTTGGGTGGACTGTCCCTTTAAGAGTTGATGAAATGTAGTTAAACTACAGCAGAGAACATCATCAATTACACTAAACTGTCATCTCTAATCTCCCTAATAAAACAGACTTTTGTTTCGTATTGTTCTGTATTGACAGATGTCAGTAGTATCAGAAGACACTGACAGATACGTAGAGATATAGGCGCACTGTCTAGCTCTGGGTCCAGTTGCCATGGCTACCATTATGCTGTCTGGTGTTGAGGTACACTTTGTGTGTGAAATTTGTTCTGTTACCCAGTGTTCAAACACAGTGTGCTGTCTCGCTCTCTTTCTCTACTCCCCATTTGTACAGACAGTGTTCCCACTATGTGTGACCACAGAATGACGTACATTGTGTCATACAGGTGCTATTGAATCCAGAGAGAAATAGATTTTTGCAAAAGAAAGCCTCCGCTTGTACCACCCCTGCACCGCAATAAATCATTCATTCAGTAAGACATGTGAGTGGGATTTTATTTATTTATTAAGTCATTTAGTCATGTGGAGAGCTGAAGAGGTGGATGGACAGTGGAGGTACAGTCTGTAGGGCCGGTTGCCATGGAGACGCTTATCTAGCTGTGGGATGGGGTATTTCTGGATGGAGTAGTGCCTTTAGGGGAGTCCTGGACTGGCCGGGTGTACCATGACAGAAAACTTGCTTTTGACAAGCAAACTGCACCTGTGTTATATCTATATATGCTATTACAGCTTGCAATTAAATAATACTAATAATAATTAAAACAATTCTTTTCCTCAGACCCATCTTCTCATACAGCATATAAGGGGTTAAATGACTATCAGTGATATGGCAAAGTCACTGCACTTACGTTGTCACCTGTGGGAGGTTCTGAGTCACTCAATCATTTACATTTCTCCTCCACACTCAAGTGCTCTGATGATTCAGGTGCACTTATTCCCATCAGTCCACCTTTTTCAGCCTGCTCTTCATTTCTGTCTATTTAAAGATGTGAGCTCTAACTTTATACAAATAAGTAAGGCATGGGGATTTTGTAATGACATTTCACTCAAATAAACTAATAAATGAGATACAGCATGGCACTGCATTTAGTATAACTCATCTGCATGTTAATAAAACAAGTTTGTTATCCAAAAAAAAAATAATAATAATAATAATGATGATAATAATAATAATAATTGTTAGGGGAAAAGTAACCCATACTTATATATAGTTACTTAGTAAATATAATCATACATTGTTTTT